AAGTAATTGAACACTTTTGTTAAAAATAGATGCTGTTAATATGTGCTGTCTGTTCTAAGGGTCAACTTAGTGCCCCCACAAACTTGAGTCTTAACTCGAGTTATATTTTAAATTAAATTATATAAAATTTAATTTGATCAAACTTATTTGATATAGCGGTTGAACTTGTGACGTTAACAAAACCCGATTTGATTTTAAAATAAAAAAAAAATAATAATATTTTAATTTTTTAAGAATATTAAAACAACAATATTTTGGATTTACTTGAATATATATAACCCAAATTCATGATATTCATGTCGTTTGAATGAAATAACAGTGGAGATCAAGATTCGGTTATTCCATTTACTGGGACTCGAAGTTTGGTAAGTAAGCTGGCAAAGGATTTGAGACTCAAAACAACAGTGCCTTACAGAGCTTGGCTTTCAGGCAACCAGGTCAGTTCATTCATCTATTCTTTGGTTAACTAAAAAAATCTGTAGCAGATTAAGGACATATTTATCCTCCAATTATCACCCAATTCTCAATTGAGTCCCCCATCTATTATCATAAATCTTAGTAGTGTGGTTAATTGGATAATATTTGATACATGGGGGACTAAATATAATTTTTTTTACAGATATTTTTTTATTTTTTTTTAATTGAGAATCAGGTTATAGTAGGAAGTCATTTAATATGTTTGTTTGGGACACCGTTTTAACTGGAGTTTTGAAGAATTTTGAATTTTTTTTAATATTTTTGGATTATTTTGATATATTGGTATCAATATTAAATTTAAAAAAATAAAAAACAATAATTACCATAGTCTTAAACACCCCTGTAGCTTATGATTGTGCTAAGGTTCATAAGAACTTTAATTTAGTCCCTGAATACTCTTCCATTGTTGGCAGGTTGGTGGATGGACACAAGTTTATGGTGATAACCTATCTTTCGCCACCATTAGAGGAGCTTCTCACACAGCTCCATCAACACAACCCAAGAGATCTCTGCTCCTGTTCAAGGCTTTTCTAGAGAAGAAACCACTGCCAACAGCATGAATGAACTGCTAAAAATATTCGGTGATGAATGATCTAGGTTTCTATGGATGGCATATCATTGACTAGAAAAGGGTTGTTTCCAACTTCACATCATGGTGCAAGAAAGGTTTTTATACATCAAGATCATGATTTTGTTCATGCTTTATTGATTTGTTATGATGACTATAACCATAACCATTGAGAAAAATTTTGATCACTTGGTGTGTTAGGAGTGGATAAGGCAAACAATTAGTCTACTATGCTCATCCAATCTCTTAGATGATGTGGTTTGAAAAGACCCCACAATGTTTTTACTTTTTTAAAAAACAATTATCTTTTACGTGAATAAAACCTTACATTACATAATAATAATAATAATAAATAGTTATGGGATTTTGTCCGGAAATCATTAGTTGGAATTTTATAAATTTTAGAATCATTAAAAATTTATATAATTATTAATTTTAAAACTTGTAAAATTAGTTTAAATACAGATCAGCTGATTCTAATATCTATATTAATCAAAAAATTAATTATGAAATTAATACTAATAATTAATCAGATAAAATAGCCTTATTATCGCTGGAATTTAACATCATTAATATAAGATTGTGTTCGGTTAGTACTGTAGAATAGAAAAACAAATACAAAAAAATATAAACATGTGTAAACGAGAATACATACATAATAATAAATATATTTAGAAGACAATTTTAAAATAAGTTTTTTAAAGTAAATTTTTATTTTTTAAAATAAAAAAAAATAAAAAATATATGCTTTCTATTGTATTCTAGACGCAACCAAGTACTCTCTCAAATATTAAATTGAGAAACTGAAATTTACCAGGACTGTAAAACTAAAAGCTAGTCTGGCCTCCTGGTCAGATTCTGTCCATTGGGTTATCATTAAGAAGATAATTCTAAAATTATATCCAATAGATTCCACAATCGTGGGTTCCCTTTAGTATCATTTGAAATTATAATAAAAAATATTTATTATTTAAAAATATATTAAAATATTTTTTTTATTTTTAATATTAACACGTTAAAATAATTTAATTATATTAAAAATTAATTTAAAATAAAAAAGTATTCAAAAATTTTAAATATATATAATGAATCGTGTTTTTAAATACCATTGCATGCAAATTTTATTTTTATTGAATTGAATCGTGTTTTTAAATATTAATTTTATTTTTAATATTAGCATATTAAAAAATATAAAAAATAAATTGAAAATAAAAAAATATTTAAAATTTTTGAAAAATATAATTCAATCTCGTTTTTAACACTGGCACGGCAGCCTCATGGTGTGAAAGTTGCGGTGGATGTGGGTGTTCTGAATCACTACCCACCAAGGTCTTTTCGGACGTTCATGGTTTATGTTCTACTTTACGAAAATACATTTATTAAAGTGAGTTTCTAGATGAGATACAAGGCATCAATGGCTTTTAGTTTGGTGGGCAAAATCTTAAGACATCGCAAAAACATGACTGCATGGAGTTCATCTTTAACACTTAAATGTCTACATATTCTATAAAATGCAGATTAGAAAAATGAGATTTGTTGGTGGGAGATGAAGACTTCCAAGTTTCTCCACCATGACCACATGAATTTTAATTGTTCAAGCTGCAATTTCAACGGTTGATAGTTTTAACAAATCTTATCTTTCACCAATCAAGAAAAATCAAGATAGCAAACAAATAGTTGTCTGATTTGACCCAATGATTCACAAGTAAAGCATTGTTTGTTTTTCCATTTGAAATTGTGTTTGAGTGTATTTAAAAATACAATATTTTAAGAATTATAAAAAAAAAAAAAAAAAACTTAAATTCATTTAGATAAACCTGCTCAACATGCAACATGCAACTCGAATCTTGAACTGGGTCAATCTCAGAAGCTGAAAAAATTGTAGCCTTGCCAGGCCAGCCAAAGGTCAGTTTCCGGCAACATGGAGGATACATAACCATTGATGAAATGCAACTTAGAGCTCTTTTTTATCAGAATATTGATCGCCTCAAATTTTTATGCTTATTAATGGTGTAAAAAAAGATCTTTGCTGGGATTTGTAGGACCTGGTTGTTCATCTACTGGAGTTGGAGCCTTTTGTGATCATGGACCTTTTAAACCAAGTGGAGAGATATTGCTCAAAATGATTATAGCTGGAATAAAGGTAACCCCGGCCCATAATGTCATGGTAAGGTTTCCCGAGAGATTGCACTACAAGATCATATTTTCTTAGCAGGTCACCATGTTCCACGGCCTGCACAATTTATCATCCAGTCTAAAGCAAAAACTAATCTAAAAGGAACAGATGCGAGTGATATGAGCATTTTATAAGGACAAGCAAAGCGTTTTCTGTAACATCTGATGAACAGCTTTAATGGCTACTAGAATTCAGTACTGATCTCAACTAACTTGCTGAGTTCTTGTGGTCGCATGGATTAATATCTGATGCAACCGATGGAATGGTTGCTACGGTTTGTAACTACTCCCGGATCATGAGACAAATTCAAACTCGTGGTTCCCTTTCGCATTCTTGCTCAGAGTTTAAGAACTTCAGGTTGTTTTTTTTCCTGTGATTATCTAAGACTACTTAATTGGCACCATATATACCTTTATGATCTTCTTTTTTTTTCCTGGTTGCTGGGTGGACACAAGTGTATGGTGATATCTTATCTTTTGCTGCCATGAGAGGAGCTCTCACGCATGAAGCTCCATTTGCACGGCCAGAAACGCCCATTCTCCTGTTTAAGGCATTTCTACAAAAGAACCACTACCAACAGCATAAAGCCATAAATCTTATCTTCACTATAGAATTTATTAGGTTCTATGGATTGCATCATTGACTAGGAAAGGACTGTTTCCAACTTCAACTTACGGTGCAAATGATTCTGATCACATGGAAAAAAAATAATAATAATTGTTGACATTGAAATCAAAATTTAATGTGTCAGTAGTATATGAGGACGACTGTTTGTCCCCCATAGTGTGCTGAAATTTCAAAAAACGTGTGATGAGGAACAAAGTTATTAAAGTCAGTTTCTTCCATGACATTACAAAGCTCAAAGTCACTAGTTGTTTCAATATTTTATTTTAAAAAAAAGTTAAAATGATGTAGCTTTGAAAAAATTAAATAAATCAAATCTAGTTTTAACTAGATATTCACTAGATTATATCAGATTAATTTCCACTCAATTTAATTCTCATTAAGTTGACTTGATATCCGCGCGCAGGGTTCTATAACTTTGATTAAGAAGTGTTAATCCGTAATAAATAAAAACAGATTTGTCAATGAGCTTTTTAAGACAGTGATGGATATTGAAGGACCAGAGCCAACCTTTTTATTCCTTAGAGGGTCATTATGTACAAAAATAATGACTTTTTGCAAACACTCCTTAAAGTTGAAGGACTGTTTTAATCTTTCAAGTGGCTGCAGCCCCTCCATGCTTGCCTCTGCCAAGAGGTCTAGATTCAAAGCTCTCTCTAGTTTACAAAAAAAGAAATCCAACCACTGCATAATGTTTACGAAAAATTCTCCAAAACTAGTGAGGGGTGGTTGAAATTACCTTTTATTTTAGCTATAGTTTTCAAAAGTATTTAATCAATCGGTACATAGTTTTATATAGTCTCCCTGAACACATTCTTCAAAAACTATTACTATAAAAAAATATATTATTTTTTCAAAGCATAACTACAAAAGTTATCAAAATATCATAGAATTTGGCAGCTACTTGGTGTGAAAGAGTGGAAGTGGTCATCCCAATCACTCCCACCCATATTTGACTACGAGTGTTTGTTTAGTGACAAAATGCAAGGTGTTGATAGGGATCTGTGCATCATTCGAGGCTCTAGAGCCCAAGGAGACTCTAGGCTGGATGTGTGCCATCATGTGGATTGGAAAGTTTCAGTTGTGAGTGGGATACATATGAAGAAGTTCCCAAGTTTGGCCCCTCCAGTCCCCACAATCAACGGGCAAAAGCTTTCTATTGTTCAAGCTACAGATCCGTTGGTTGATATTTTGAGCAACCATTTGTCTTGTTGCAGATAACCTAGTTGTAGCAACTAGAGAGTGCATGTGAACAAAATAGTTGTGAAAGGTTAGAGATGATTTTCCACGGAAGAGCCCACAATGTTGTCAGGCTTTGTCTCTAATAGTTGACCGCTTACCTCCTCTCGTGATCCTATGTGTGCTTTGTGCGAGTGTGAGATTCTTACTTTGTGGGATTTGCCAGAGTCTACAGAAATTATTTTTTTCAATTTAATCCTCACATGATAGATAAGATAATCTAAAGAAAATAGGGTTCACCCCTACATCATCTGATAAAATACCATAGAAAGGTGTGTATCACTGCGCAATTCTCAGCTGCCACTGTTCTGCTCTTTCTCCAACGTCAATCCTCTGCCTGAGAAACACGAACTGGAGCTGCCCTCAAAATCCTTATCTTCAAATGCAGCAGAAAGAGCCATGGATTGTCATTGCAGCAATTTGTGCAACTCTAATCTTTTTAACAACAGGGTCAATCTCAGAAGCTGGAAAAATTGTAGCTTTGCCAGGCCAGCCAAGGGTCAGTTTTCAGCAGTATGCGGGATACATTACCATTGACGAGCAGCAGAAGAGAGCCCTTTTCTACTACTTTGCTGAAGCAGAAATAGACCCAGCGACAAAGCCTCTTGTTCTATGGTTAAATGGAGGTATGAATTTCTTTCTATCGGAAATCTGCTACAAAGTTTTATGCTTTTTAAATGATTGAGAAGAATGAAAATCCTTGCTGGGATTTGCAGGGCCTGGTTGTTCATCTATCGGAGCTGGAGCTTTTTGTGAGCATGGACCTTTCAAACCAAGTGCGGAGATACTGCTCAAAAATGATTATAGCTGGAATAAAGGTAACCTTGTAAACTTTTCTGCTTTGTCCCTTTCCATGTGAAATATGAGAGTCTGCTTTTCATGTTCTATGCAAAATTAAAGATTCAAAGTACATAACAAAAGAGACTTAAATTTCTTTAATCCTTTTTTCCTGCAGAAGCAAATATGTTATACCTGGAATCACCTGCAGGAGTTGGCTTCTCCTACTCTGCTAATGATTCTTTCTACACCTATGTGACCGATGAGATTACAGGTTTTCATTTGTCAATTATAATCGATCCACACCATGATAAGTAACAGTAGATTACTAATAATATATATGGATTTGGTTGAAACTACGTAATCTAACACACTTAATTTAGTGTTTCTTTCACTTGTGCAACAATTTGTTTTTTGGTGAACTGATGACTGCCCAATTCATTTACAGCACAAGACAATCTAGTATTTCTTGAGAGATGGTTCGATGAATTCCCAGAATACAAAGGAAGAGATTTCTTCATCACAGGAGAGAGCTATGCAGGTATTTTGTTAATTTTCTGTTCATATTTTCAAGCATAGCAATTTAATGAACTCAAAGCTGCTGGATTGGCCAGCATGAGGAGAAACAGTACTAAAAGCACACGGTAATTTTTATCAGGTCATTATGTTCCACAACTTGCAACACTTATAGTCCAATCCCAAACAAAATTCAATCTGAAAGGAATAGCAGTAAGTGATATGAACGTTTGAAATGCACATTTCCATGGGGTCTGCTGTAATGTCTGCTGAAATTAACATGAATTTCTATGGCTGCAGATAGGAAATCCACTGCTAGAATTCAATACCGATTTTAATTCGCGTGCCGAGTTTTTTTGGTCTCATGGATTGATATCAGATGATACCTATGAGATTTTCACCACGGTTTGTAACTACTCCCAAATCAGGAGACAATATCAAAGTGGCTCTCTTTCGTTACCTTGCTCTGCAGTAAATAGCCGAGTCTCAAGGGAAGTTAGTAAATATGTTGACGCCTATGATGTTACTCTTGATGTCTGTTTATCATCGATTGAATCACAATCCCAAGTGTTAAAACAAATGGTGAGCTCTTTTTTATTTTCTTTCAGATCATACATTATTCTTCCAGAACTAAAATGGATTTGCCTAATTAGGCTTTTCTATCGTCTCCTGTGCAGGAATATACAGGGACAATAGATGTCTGTGTAGAAGATGAAACAATCAAGTACTTGAATAGAAAAGATGTACTGGAAGCTCTTCATGCTCAGCTTGTTGGAGTAGATCAATGGACGGTATGCAGTGAGTAAGGATCAAAACCCAGCATATAAGCTTTGTTCTTCCTCTCTGCAAAGTGTTCTATGAAGTTATCTCCTGCCTATTTCAAAATTCTTTTCTATTTATCATGGAGAATTCTTAATGTCTACAACTGTGAATCTTGATACAGTGTCATCAAATATGAGATGGAAAATCTAGAAATTTCCACAGTTCCTCTTCTTGCCAAGCTTCTCAAGTCCGGCATCCGGGTTCATGTTTACAGGTAAATTAAGATGCATGCTACTGAATGCCTAAAATCTTAAAGTAGTAGCCATTTTAATGTATCATGCAGCATGGTAATACTAATAACATTGTAAATTTCTCAGTGGAGATCAAGATTCAGTGATCCCACTCACTGGAACAAGGACAATAGTGAATGGGTTAGCTAAGGAATTGGGACTAAACACAACTGTTCCTTACAGAACCTGGTTCCAGGGAAAACAGGTCAGCTCATCACGAGCACATAACTTCAGATTAATGATTTTAACAACAATCTAAGATAACTCCATGGGATCATGCCTTAATATTTATTCTTCACAGGTTGCTGGTTGGACACAAGTATATGGTAATATATTATCTTTTGCAACCATCAGAGCAGCATCACATGAAGCTCCATTCTCACAGCCAGAAAGATCTTTTGTTCTGTTTAATGCATTCTTGGAAGGGAAGCAATTACCACCCCCTACAGTTTACTGAAAAAATTCATAAATTAGTTTCAAATCAATATTGTAAACTGTCAATTCATCACAGCAGGCATAACCATTCCTGCTTTCTGTCAAGATTTTGATTAATTCCCACTTTGTGTTGCGATCAATATTTTTGTCACAGTTCCTGCACATCCAGTGCGAGACTCAATCTCATGTCACTAAAACAATGCAAAGGGTACGTGTTTTTGGTGATGAACAAGATACAGGACAAGGTTATCCCATGGGAGTATCTGTTATTTCATCCCATGTATATACTGAAAAGATCAAAAAGATACAATTAATTTTATGAATTAACACACAATATCTTAAATTTATGTTTTTATTAGTCATATACTAGTAACATTATATTATAATATAATTTATAGAAGTGGTTTTCGTAAACTCAATTTTATTAACCAATTTAAACTGGCATATAATGGTTTTGAGCGAGAGAAAGCACGAGGAGAAATTAGCAAGATTGTAAAGGCTTAGAGCTTATTTACAAGTGAGTATATAAGTTGGGGACTGGTTTGTAGTTATCCCAATAAAAAAACATAGAAAGAACAAACCTTTGAACCAATCAAATATAAAAACAAGCCGCCCCACAGGTCAATGAAATTCAAATTTTGGACAACCATCATCTTGAATGGTTATTTGACGCCAACAAGGAAATTGTTTTGAGAAAGAATGTAGATCAACAAGTAGGTAAATACTAATTTATACATAGAAAAAAAATTGTCAATGTAGATCGAAAAGCTTATGTATATATATAATTAAAAAAAATTAAGAGTTATATATTAATAAATAAATAAAACCATTAATAATAACTAAAAAAACAAAAAAAAATAGATATAAATTAAGATATTTAATCTTACAAAATAGAATATTTACTTAATTATGTTATCTGAATTGTTTTATTAAAATTATTTTTTATTCAAGTAAGCAATGATAAAAATAAACACATGTTAAATTGATTGAATAAATAAAAAATATTATATAATACTACACATATTATAAATATTATCTAAAAATAAAATTATTTTATTTTAAAAAATAAATCTCATCTAGATTAAAAAATTATAGATAAATCAAAATAATCTTTTCAAAAATTAAATACACACAATACACTATTAAAAGAATCTTTATCCAAAAGAGGTTAAGAAAAAAAATCACAAGGAGGGATATTAATTGAAACATAAACTTAAATATTATTTAAAACAATATTTAAAAAAATATATCAATTACAAAATATTAGAAAAAACTAGTCTGGATGAAGGTTATGGCTTAACTCATCAAATTTGTAATTTGAATCATGGATTTATTTAGGTCCAATAATTTTTTATTTTTAGATAAATTAGATATTTTGAGATTGAAATGAGTTTGTTAGGATTTCTAGAGTGTTTTGAGATGAAAAAAAAAAAATTAATTTTTGAGGTTCTAAAACTTAAATCTTGATTTTTTTTAATTATCAAATATGATAAACTAACTTGCAAAACATGAAATTATACAGTTCATTTAAAATTAAAAAAAAATAGCTAGAGTAAACTTTAATTAATGCTTGAATAATACCTTGTCTCCCATTTATTAATACTTTTTAATTAATATACTCTCTCTTATCTTCTTTTTTTAATGTTTAGTTCACCTTTTAAAAAATAGTAATTAATCTTTGTAATTGTTTTATTTTTAATTTTATAATGCTTTAAGAGATCATTGTAATTTCTAAAAATTTATAAAATAAAAAGAAAAACAAGATTAGATATTTAGACCGTACATCTATATTTTATTAAGAATATCAGATTTTCAATTTAATACTTAATTAACATTAAAAACTATTTTTCAATTTATCTATTAATTTATTTTATTAAACATAAATAACATCTTTTTTTTCAATTAAAAAAATTATAATCTATAGAAACACATATATAACACCAAAACCTTCACTCCCTTTAGAAATTAATTAATACAATATTGTATATTTGTTATTGTTAATTATGGATTGTGCAAATAAGCTGATTGGCGTCTCTTCGAATCTTAAAGGTTTGCCAATAATTAACAGTCAAGAAACTACTTTATAGCTTTTAGGAAATTGAGAGGACTAAACAGTTAGTTTCTTGAGAGGACAGGGACTGAACTATAATTTACCAATCTCAGGTGTGGCCGGGGAAAAAAAACTCGACACTTGCAAACTCTGACAGCCGCTTCTCACCAAAAACCCGAAAACAGAAGGCCGCCGTCACTGCAGCTGCCACTCTCTCGGTCTCTCCTATTTTTTTCCCATCAATATTCACTGCTATAAGACCTCAAGCAATCAAACAAGACTTTAACAAAATCAGACGCTGCATAAGAAGAGCCAGCCAATCCACCAACACAGCCCCCGTCAGTCCTTCCACGCGCCACCACCAACCTCAACCCTCAACCCCTTCATACACCGTCTCTGCAACAGAAACTCGCCAACCCATCAAGGGGGCTGTAGCCGACGGGACCAGGGGAGAGAGCAGAAGATACCAACGTTTTGAAGAAGTTTTTCCCGGAGAAGCTCAAGAACGTAGACGCAGATTAAAACGGACGAAGAAAAGCTCAAATTGGATTCTTTAGTGCTAAAAGATATCAGCTCAAGTTGCTCTTCTTGGGTCCAAATCTACAAGGACTCCTAAGCCAAGGTATATACAATCTCTGCCTTTCTCTTAAAACTAGTTGGTCCGTTGTTTGAGATAGATTGTGTTGCTATAGTGGTTAGTTGTCAATCATGATTAATATATATGTTTTATCCATAGCATTGTTGCTCCTCAAAGCACTCTCTATTCTGGCGTTGTGAACAGTACTAACTACCTAGCGAGTAATGTAGCATGAAGTGGCGGGGAAAAGGAAGAAGAGATTCGCTGGAAATTTGTGGGTGCTGCTGTCGTTCTTCTTGCTGTTTGCTGCTACTTCTAGTAACTGTTTGAAGTGGGAAATTCGTTTCGTTAATTTTTGTTAATTGCTTTGGATTTGAACGCCTCTTCCTCATTTCTGCTAGAGCCACCAAATCAACGTATCTCCAGCTTCGACAAGGCATAGGTTGCAGCCACCGTCCCCCCTCTTTAGCTGCTTCTTGGTTCTTTCCTCTTACAGGTTTGCTTTTGCAAGGGCATTAGCTAAAAGGGTCTGTGCATTCTTTCATGTTTGTTTGTTTTGCAACCTAAATTTGGTTTCTTGGTGGTTTTTATCATCTGGGTTGGTGATTTGCTTCTGCAAGGGCATTAGCTAAAAGGTTGTTTTTAATTTATTTGCTAATGTTGTTACTGGGTTCATGAATGCGTCTCTTTCTTGTTCAAATCTTATTTCCCAAATGCATGTGCATAGATAGATTGAGACATTGAAGATGCTTACTAAATTCGATGATTCTGATGAATTTCCATATTATTCTAGGATCAGATCAACTTGTTTTGCTCATTCATTAATGGAGGTTAAAGTGCTATAGTTCTTAGAATTTGTAAATATTGAAAATCTGAGGTAATGAGTTAATGCAGCAGGGGAGGCAATGAAACATGAAAGAATATAACTATTTGATGTGCAAATGCTATGAAACATGAATAACAAAAAATAATAATAAAATATTCATGACTTCTCAAAATTTAGCTAAAAAATAAAGAGAGTATGTATCTAGATGCTATAAGCTCCAGTTAAACGATCCTGGGTTGCGGTTTAGCCCATAAAGGTGTTTTTCTTTTTTTTTTGTGTGTGTGTGTTCTTTAATCAATTTGCTCAACTGGGTTTCTTCTTCTTCTTGCTTGCTTAATTATAGTGAAATTTGAGTTTTCTTGTATTATTATTTGAATATTTGATGGGTGTTTGGCTCCAGGGTTTTTTTTTTTTTTCAACTTAATAACACTGCATTTAGCTATTTTCTTGGTAACCAATTATAGCATTGGTTTAAAAGCTTGAAACTTTGATTGTGTGCATTAATTAATCCCACTTAAGGAGGTTTAGCTAGTTTTTAAGTTGTTCTTTGAAGAAATATTTAAAAGGTAATGTAGATTTAGCTAGTTTTTAAGTTGTTATTTGAAGAAATATTTAAAGGGCAATGTAGATTATATGCTGTTGTTGATTGATAATTACTGGTGTAGAATTAGTAGAACGGAAGAGCAAGAAGAATTATTAGGAGGCAATGGTGCTGGCATTAGAGTTTCAACTTTTGATTATTCAGTCAAGAATCACTTTCAAGAAATGGACATGATTTCTAAGCTTTGTGGAGAAGCAGAGACTGATTCTGTAGATGAAACTGAAATTCATTGCTATAAGTCCTCTATCACTTTTTTAAGGTCAGTAATCTTCTTCTTTTTTGTATAAACTCTACATTGGGATACATTGAGCAATTAGCACCCAAAATGTAATAAAATGCTGTAGCACATAATAAAAAAGTTTTGATGAAACAGCACAGTTTGAAAATATTACGATTCAAAAACGCAATATTTCAATAACATCATGGTTCAGAATCGTGACATTTGATACATGTCACGTTTCAGAACCGCGATAACTGATGTCGCAATTCACAACTGCAACATTAATGAAATGTCGCGTTTCTAAACCACGACATTTGATTCAGTGTCGCGATTCAAAACCATAACATTCTTAAGGAGATTTTTTTTGAGAAACAACCGGATATTTGATAAAATGGTTGAATAGTAGCCAAAACAGTCAAACTGTTTTAGCTACTGTAAGATTTTGGATCATTTTCGCGTTTTAAACTTGAAAAAGTTTATAAAATCATAATTTTGGATCATTTTCGTGTTTTAAACCTGAAAAGGTTTATAAAATCATAATTTTGGTTAATCTACTCTGGATCCGGAATAATGATATGTCATGTTATACTGATGTATCAAATCATATACTCCTCATCAGTAATTATAGGATGCATCTTTGTAAATATCTTATTCCTCCGTGCATCCCACTATGATACGCAAGCACTATGCTGGTCTAACCAATTGTTATCATCATTTTTACCACTACGAATAATGACATGCAAAGCATCAATCGTATTGATATCGACTGGAATGTGATGTCTATAGCTGAACTGTTGCATTACCCGATTTAGGCAATGTAGCTCAACTGTCTCAAAACATATTAGCCTAGGCCACTGCTGTTTATATATCCATC